TGTACATCCTAGTAAAATCACTGGATAGAACTGAGTATATTCATGTTGTTCAGTTAGAATACATTGAATAATTGTTTTGCTAATTACTACAATGTTAGTCAAACGTGCTCTTTTAAACGATTTCATTAAAATATGGGTTGCAGTCGAATTATGCGTTTTTTTCATTAAGATCTATTAATCTCCGTAATCCGTCTCGTGATAAAATGTTATGGCTGAACGGCAATAAGAAGTAACTGATCACTTTCCTGGAATATTTGCATCTGAAATGTAAGTCTTGTGAACACTTTCTGGCAGGTTGAGTGGAATCACCATGTCTCAGCCTGTAAAGTCGGGTTCCAGTCAATCATTACTTGCCTGACATGAACACATACTTGCCTGACATGAACCCGATTCCTTTTATTAAGAGCGAGGTACTAGTAATTGATAATGCCTGATAATTTGCACAAGGATTTTTTTGCTTCCAATTGTACTAATAGAAGTCTGAATGATTATAATATATGATACGTTGATTTGATCTACTACATTTATTGTATATATTATATATTACTATATATAGAATAATTCCTAATAAAACATCGATGACTAAATTTTGTAACTTGTATCTAAAAAATTGCGACTTATTAGAATAGAAAAAAAACGTTGTAAAGGTCTAATCACAAGCTACTACAAATGTGATCATTTGCCGAAATAAAAAAATTTCGATTAATATTCGCGTTAATTGTCGTTGAAGATGATCTTATCTTTCGGGTGACGTTATTATCTCAAATCGGCCGAATTTTGAAACACATTGCTTGTTATTAAAATGTAGCGTGAGCGTGTGTACGGAGCAAGAGAGCTTTGCATTTTGTAGCGCGACCCCAGAGCGCGGCCGAGCAGGAGGGCGGGTCGGAGGTGAGTGTTGAAGGGGCCCTAACTCACGGGCTGCGCTGGGGCCGAGGGGCCTTGGCACGCCGATGCGCTGAGGGCGTTTGCAAGCGCCCATCCACCGCCGCCCCGCGCTGTGACTCAGACGCCCCCGCAACGAAACTCACCCGCGTTCTCCTTTCCCGTACGAGACGAATTAAGGCATTTGACTCGCTGAGAGAAAATAGCATCCTTCATCAATGCATAATAAGGAAATATTTAATGATTGACGAAATCGGGGCATATAGTTGTAAGTGGATCGGGAATCACTAGGAAAAAAATATACGACATGTAAAGATTAAATTCAACACTAAAATAAATATCTGGGAAATTGAGGAGTAAAAAAAGTGGTTATCCGCCGAAAAGATACCACTAAAAATGCTCTACGAAAGTTTCTAAAAAGAAGAAAAATGGTAATGCGAATATAAATTGATGTAATTCTAAATAGACATTTTTATACTGTCCCACAACTCTCAATAAATGAAATTATTTCTTTTCCTTTACGAAATAAGTTAATTTAAACATTGCAGGAATGACTCTATGAGCATCAGAAAGCTGCTTGTCATAAAGCATACGAGTGTTACATACGAATGTAAGCGTATTACATGATGGAGCACTATCCTTTCGGCGCTTGTGTTCCTTTCCGCCGCTGACGGTTCCTCGACTGAATGCAAGACTGCCCACAGAGGCCCTTGGTAGTGAAGCTGGCGTCCAAAGCGTTGCCAATGCCTCGAACCCAGGTCGCGTGAATCGGCGGCGCGGGGTGATCGCGGGGGCGGGGCGGCGGAGGCGCACAGAGCCGCCTTTGCTCCCTCTCTCTGACGTCAACGCGGGCAGCTGCGCCTCGCGGTCTGGCGCGTTTCGCTCAGGACGCGACCGCGGCACCCTCGCCCCGCCCCGTGCTGCCTCCAATCTGATGATGAATCGCGGTAATTGATGAAGCAAAAACTTGATTGAGGTTTCCGTATGTTCTTAGCTTGTTTTTTTAATGCGCTTATTCTAGCAAAGAATGTAATCGAAAGTTTGAGATGTGAATATGAAAAATATTGAAAAAGTTGTCTTTGTAATGTTTTCCTTATTTCAGAAACTCAATAAATTTGGATCAACCGTCATTAGTATCATATAGTATATTACAATTCCATCATTCAGTGAATGATAAAATATTTTCACTCCATTGACTTCAGTGTTTATGTTTCGTAGTGGGAGGTAATCAATTTATTATTCGTACAAGAATGTTATCAGCATAAAAACGTTTTAGGCAGGGAATCATATGGTAAGATGGTGGAAAGTAATGTACAGATTTCAGAGTAGAATTTTTTTTCATGTGATCAGATCTTTAACATATCCATGTACAGCCAAATATTAATATTTTAATGCAGAGTTTGATTTGTGGGTTTTCGATTATCGAGTCACTGATGCATTTATGAATGAATATAGTGCCACTGCCCAAGTGAATTGAGTGCAATACGCTTGTGTGAGGCCGTGAGTCGCATTGTGTGCGAAGTTCTTGCTCTTTGTCGTCGGCCGTCAGCGCCGCTCGCCCTTGCGGTCAGGCGCTGTCCTCTCCAAACACTTCTTTCTGTGATACTCAGGCGCATTATCGAGCAGCTTGAACTGTCGGCTCTGCACACAGCCGCCGAACTCCTGAACGGGCGCAGCTCCCGAAGACCACTGTTCATGAAGTGGACTTTCGGATTGTGTGGTCGGGAAACAAGAGCATTGCGGAGAAGAAGGATGCTTCTCTGGGGAGTATGATGAGAGCGCGTACTCGGTTCATTTATTGTTTGACAGAACTTGCTCTCCATAATTTTAATTTTAGGTGCAGCTAAATAACTTGTTCTCAATGTATTACAAGTTAACACACACGACCGTGTCGATGCTTATATTTACCACCTTTAACGCACAATAATTCAGATTCAGTTCGAAGAGTATTAGTTTTAGAATTAAATCATAATTATGTATTTATATTGCACAGCATTGTAGGTTGCATATTCTAAATTTTAGGGTTTATGGTAATTTCATTATCAATATAATGTGTGTATCATGATTACTCTATTAATCAGTGCCATTTATTATAAACAATCAGTTCAATTTGAAATAAAATTCCCATGTTCATCATTCAGGTAAATAGTGTTAAAAATTAGCTAACAATACATGATGATGGAGATTACATATAGCTCGCAAAACGTTGCTATTTCAAGACTATAAATAAAATGTTCATTAGTGTTAATTTCATTTCAAATGATCTGATTGTGGTAATAAAGCGGACTAATAGAATTTATAACTAACTTATTTTTCAAAAAATTGATTAGAACAAACAATTTTCATTCGAAACAATTGATATAAAGAGTCCCAGATAATTTCCATTTCACGTAAAAACTTAAGTTATTTATATGCATCTGCGCGTCGTCCTGTGGTGCGCACATTTAATCAAATTGTTTTGGGTAGCGCAGACACGTGATGAATGGAATATTTACTATTCATATACACGCATTGTGTAGCGCGCGGGTGGAAGCTGCCGATCGCTTTTCGCGATGAAGTGACGACGTCTCGGCGCGCGAGTTGGCGATGTCGGGGGCGGCGGCGGGTCGCGTCCAGGGGAGGCGACGGGGCGGGTGCAGCTGCTCCCTCCGGCCGCGCGCCCCGGGAGAGCAGGCGTTGCGCTGCCGCCTCCGCGAGCGCGGCCCGACCGACGCCGCGCTCAAGCGGCTGCCTCCACAGAAAACCCTGCCGCTACCGCCGCCGCAGCCTCTGCGGTCGCCACCAACGCCACTGTCACCGCCACCGTCACTGCTACCTTACTGCCCCCGCAACTGCCACCGTCACTGCCACCGCCATTGTCACCGTTACTGTCACCTTACTGTCACCGTTACTGTCGCCATCACTGCAGCCGTCACTGCCACTGTCACTGCCAGCGTCACTACCACTGTAACTACCACCGTCACTGCCACCCTCACTGCCACTGTCAACACTGCATCCATTGCTGTAACTATCGCCACTATCACAGCTATAGTGCAGTCACGGGACATCCTCAGAATTTCCATCTCCTCTGTGGCTATCGCCTACCGTCACCCGCACAGCTTCTACTAATCCCGATTGCCGCATCTACCGCCTCTGTCATTGCTGGCGCAGGTATTGCCGTCATCCCCATTACCGTCACTAGGTATTCCACCCTCCTTTCGTTTATTGCAACGTTTCGCCACTTCGACAACCATCGCTCTGCCACGTCCAACCTCAGTCACCTACGTCACCTCTAATGCCGCATTTGTGCTTAGAGGCAATGTACTGTCATACCGTTGCGCTTTCTTGCTCCTCGTCCCAGCTGCCGTTGCTATCATCGTTGCTGCATTCTGTAACTTGGATCACTTCCATAATCTCTTTTGATTTCGTGGTCGAAAAGGAAACTGAGCACAACACGCCGTGCTGTTCATTATTGTAAAGATACTGTAACAAATATGTATGGATTTGTTTGTACAAATATGTATTTGTTACAGTATCTTTACAATAATGAACAGCACGGTTACACGTAACGACGAGTTACGTGTAATGAATGTTCACGTTTACGTGTAACTCGTTGGCTGCATTATATGAGGAGGAAATGATGTATTGTATCATTCAGGACGAGATGGCGAAATACCAGGATCACTGTCTCATCTCGAAAAAGACTTCGTAATTTGATAACCAAGTGTGAGATATGCTTCACAGTATGATCAATATGAGATAGTTTCACTACTACCTCAAAAAAATGTATTGCTACAATTAAAAGATATTTCAATTAAGTGTATATTACAGATCTTTGCTTTATTCTTGACTGCAGTATAATCACTACAGTTAGCGGAGATTTGTGAAGCGTCAGATGTGTCCGAGGTATTGCTAAACGCCGCTCGACGGCCCTAGATAGTAGCCCCTGTGGCTGCGACGTAAGATGTATCGCATTACGGAAGAGGCGAGCGATCGAAGTAGGTCGCTTTCTGGGCCCTCTTCGGTTGACGCCCGAACCGCAAGAAAATTTCGCAACTGTATTTTTGTGTTTTTGAATGTTGTAATCTTATTCTTGAAATGGCTTTTCACTCACTCTTTTTTTTGTTTGTTCGCAGGTGAGTACCCTGAGTACAAGTGGAAAGGTGTTGCAGACGTCAGACATTCGGATGGTGGTGAGTTTCGAGTGGAATGACCCAGCACTCTTTATCTGCTAGAGAGCCGTTGCAACGTCAAGAAGCCTGCGATGTAATAATCGCGTTCATTTCAAGTGCTTAGAAGCAATGTGAACGTATGTAACAGTTACCGGTAGCACTGTCAAAATTCTTCGGAAGTTTATTATGAGCACCTTTATGAAAGCGTACAGTTTTCGCACCTCCCTGTGTCTTACGATATAGGTACTTGGCTTAGCCTGGCATCTCTGGCAATTTTTGTATGCTTTGAAAGTTAATATTGAAAAGGAATTTTAAAAACAATAAAGTTGGTTGGTCTATCCCCTGAAACGTTTTGTTTCTTGGAAAAGAATCGATTGAAATTATTTTTCATAACTGTTTCATTACATCATAGGTTTAACTATCGGGAATATAATGAATCATGTTCCAGGGATTCACTTTGAGCCGGAAAGGCAGTGGAGTGATCCGAAGCGGTTCAGAATTGTAGGCGAATTAAAAGTCCTCATGCATGTTTTTTCCTGGAATATTTTAGAAAGATCCGCTGAAAATAGAGCCAATTGATCCGTCTTGTCGGGAGCAAACAAATGTGATCACTTCCGTTGGAGGCTTTAAAACTTCCCAAATAGAATTTTGGGTATTTAATCTCTTCCACAACACATTTTCGATAACTCATTACAAAATTAGGTTTAATTTTCTTCAATCTGATCAGCCAACCTAATAATTCATGTTAATGTTGAAAAGAGATTGTAATCATTCACAGTGCTTTACCGATATTCTCGTAGATACATTGAAATCATAAAAAAATCTTGTGTTTTTATAGAATTCGTATCCTGGAGTGAAGCTGTTAAGAATTGCGCGAATCAATTTGTCTAGTTGAGAGGAATCAAATGTGCTGTTCATCCCTAGGCATCGTAAGTCAACCATAACGCGTTTTAATTCTTTAATCTCGAAAAAAAAAAGTATCTAGAAATTTCTTAGAATTTTCTGAATGGATCCGCAACACAAAGATCAATTCCCTATCAGGAGACTGAGACATGGTAAATTACCCAACATTTGTTTTGATTGGTGAACTGGAAGAGGCTGAACTGAGAGAGACGAACGGACGGACGGACGGACAGACGGATGGACGAAGGTTACTCTATTACGTTATACGGATGTTATGTTTGTAATTGGAGCAGAAGTTATGTGGGCAAATGATCCTTTGCTTTGTCCGAATTAGTTATGGAGCATCGTGGAGATGATCGTAGCTTCATGGTGAAACTGCAATTCCGAGATGCGAACAGATCCGGCGCTTTCCACTCGCCTGGCCGAGGCGAGCACATCGCACTGAGATACATTTCCAAGAAGCGCACGAAGAAGCATCATTACCGTTTCCGGCGCGATACTAGCTGAGCTGAAACGTCTTCCAGCCGTCGTTTTTTTTCCAAGGCGAGAAATAGGGCACTTTTTTAATATTCTGTTCTGTTTCTTTGCTCAGTAACATTGAGGAAGCAAAAATAATGTAGATTTCCCAGGATTCTCAAAAAAAATATTTGCGTCCTTAATCCAAATTGGTTTACGATTCTTCGAATTGCTGACAGAATTCAAATGCAGAATAGCAACAAGCTGTTATTATGTGACCAAACGCAAAAAAGAGGGCTTGTATCTCAGTCGCAGTGTGAGGAGGGGAAGAGTACAAGAATAGAAAGAACGCCATGGGTTGCTATTAGATGTAGTTATCATTTTCCTCAGTTTTCTTTGATTACAAATTTTTCTCGTCCTGTTTAATGAAGTGTTTAATTTCTGTTCTTCATTTATTACCTTTTCCAGAAATACGCCAAAGTTATTTTCTACATGATACATTATCATACTTCTACTACCATACTTTGACATATGTATCGTGATAGTCTCGTACTAGTACCAACAAATTATTCCTGTACTTGAATTCGTATAATTGGAAGGAAAATCTTTGAACTTGCAGTACGTGAAACACAGAGTATCGTGACAGCTTTTAGAAGCAAGTGCTTCTTCAAACATAAATGCAATACATTTTTCCTGCATCGCTCGATATAATGATGTAAATGATACAACGCAATACTGAGGTGAGAAAATTATACACTAGAACGTGTTTGAGAAAGTTGCGTGCAGTTACACTGATTTACGAGCCAGCCAGATGTCAGAGATCTCTGTTTATTACATCAGGAAAGATGGTTTGAGGAACTGATGTAAGCCACTGAATATTAATACGTTCTCATTACATTTGTCATAAAATAAATTCAGCGAGGCATAATATCTGCATAATATTTTACAATATCAAAGCAAAGAGTTAATAGAAGAAGGGCAAAGTTCAATTTTAAGCTACTAACTATCACACGCAAATAGGTATGTATCCCTGCGTTTTCCCCTTCTATCTTCTTGTAGGCAAAGAGTTGCCGTTACAGTTTATAACTATTATTATCAGAATATTTCCTAACAAAAGTGATTGATACGTGTGTAAACGCATACTGATGTTTGTGAAAAAATCGAAACCCTTGCCATGTGTAGTCGCTTCGTTGAATCTACCTACCTACCTCTCCTACCGCGTACTCCTACCTCCCTCTCTTACAGCCAGGTCTGTCCATAACCAGTGGCAATCTTATTATAGTATCTGTCGATACAGATAGCAATTGTGAACATGAAGGCGCATTGAATATAATGATCTGATTCCAAAAAAGGACATTTCCATCTTTGCCCGTGCCGAAAGGATCTAATGTAAAGACAAATGTTGAAAATATGCCTTTGCTGTACTTCAAAAATGAAAATACTTTAACCCAAATTTGTAGAAAAAAGATTGTAATAAATTGCTAAATTCAAGTAGCATTAGTTCTTTTGTATATAAAATATTCCATCAATTGTTTTGCAATTCAATCTGCCCCCCACCCCTTCATTGGAACTCACCGGTTACCGGAATAGAAATTGGTATGCGACTGTTAATTAAAACAGCAACCATAGAAGATTGAAAAACTAGGTGTAATATATCCTATCTACGCTGCTGCCGAACCTAGAAATAGAACGTCCTCCAACGCATCGGAGCGTTGATCACGTGCGTTGTAGAGGGCTTAACCGCGCTGGCTGATTCCGGCGCAGGACGTTTGGAGGTGCGTGCGCGCTGTGTGAGCCTGCACCGCCGCCGATCCGCCTCGATTTTCGTAATCTGTAACGGCGCACGCAACGGTTTCCGCGCGGGGGCGTGGAGGGGGAGGGCGGGGCGTTGCGAAACCAGGCCGCCCAGTCAACGAACGAACGAACGAGCGAGCGAGCGAGCGGCCAGACCGCGCGGCGCGCCGAGGGCGACGAACCCCCGCCTATTCGCGCGTGTTGTGTCGGGGCGTCTGCGGCAATCCGTTGGGCTGGGACGCTTGTTTATGGATGTGGGTGCGAGGTTCAATCAAGCGAATCGGTCTGTGTCCGCATTCGACGCCTCGAAATTTGACTTGGTACTAGGTACTAGGTATGGAATTTATGGAACGAGTTACTGCTGATTACTTTATCTCCTCTGGGAACACACCGGCTCGACAAAGTTAATATCGTTTATCCAGGTAACAGAGGACAACACAGAGATGTGGGTTAATAAGAACCGTACAATCCCCAATTACTTGTTCTTTTGCGGAATTTCTGTGTGTTGTCGCTTGCTGCTCGTGCATTTGCTAAAATTTTCCGCATAATATCCTTGGACCGCTTGCTCTAGATTATTTAACTACATTGACATCGCTTCCTCCCCTGTAAATACGTTTTCGTACGATGCCGTGGCGTATCGTGGCAAAGTAACTGCGGAACGGACGGCCCGCTTTGGGTTCTTATTGTGCAGTAGCTGCACCAATGACGCCCGCACCCATTCAGTCCGTCGTCGGATCCGCAAGGTGCAACGCGCCGGCGGCGGGGGCGGTGGAAACGGGGCCGCGCACAGACCGCCTCTGTGCTGCTGATAGAGGGTCTGGGGCGGCGCCCGGGTTCGACGCCCTGCCTGCCGGATGCAGCGAGCGGACGCCCCTTCCGGGTGAACGGCATCGATGTACGCGCGATGGACAGCTGCCGCCCCCGCCGCGAACCGCGCCGCGCCGCGCCCGCTGGCGTAAATGGCGATTGACGGCTCCGGAACCGCTGTTGTGTTGAACGGTTAGACCTAGGTTGCGGTTAGGTGCATGCCAACTTGCATGTTTGGAGGCGTCATTCCGTTCAGTGATTTTGTACGTTAACTTTTATTCTTGCCGATGATTATTATCGGTACGGAAAGAAAACCATTCGTTTTACAAAAATGTGCGAATATATCGCAATATTTCTACTGATGTCGGGTGTGAAGAGAGAAGAGGGAGAAACCAATCTAGGCGTCATAATCAATGACGTGTAACGCTTTTAACTTTCGACCCAATTCTACCTCGGAAGTCCTCTTTTCGTGATGATATAATCATTATTTCCGTAATTGGTGAAGAGAAGCAATGTAGAGTTCACAAGGTAATCTGACCGGCAAACTCAAGTTTGATTTCAAAACGTTGTTTACAGTACAATGTCGATAATCCGAATAAATGGGGACCAGACCCCGTTCGAATTATTATATTACTCCAAGTTTCCAAATAAACCAATAATATATCCAGTGCACATTTCAGGTTCAACAAAATTCTTTCTAAACTTGTTTATAATTCAATCTGATGGTTCTAGAAACAGCTGGTGTATACGATCATATTCATTAATGTAGTAAATCTATTAATCGATTATCATTAATCCATAAATTGTTAAATCCATGATTGCATTATTCGTTTATAATTACGCAAAAACTACGTTGCACAAAAATGCAGATGTATTTTATGTACAGTAAATATATGCCTATAACAAATATACGGATATGCCAGTAATAAAAAGAATTCCAGTAAAGTAAAGAATTCCAGGAAAGTCCAGTAATAAAATGAATTTATCTACAAACGAAACCACATAGTATTTGAAGTAAAAAATAATAATGTTT